AGATACCGCATTCCGAATGGGCTATGTCAGTAACTTATTCAATTAATAACGGCAGCATATTCTGTAATATCAAAGATGCTGTTACTCTTGTGCCATTGTATAAGTTGCATACAACTTTTGTTTGTTTGTTTGCTTGCTTGCTTGCTTATCTGTTTGTTTGTTTGGTTTGTTTGTTTTTCATCGTAAGTTTATATTGCACACTACATTCTAAAAGACTTGTCCCACCGTCAGAAACAATAATGAGAAGGGTCCAGATTTTTTTGGCGTCACGCTATCCAAATATATCTAGTACCTAACTGGACATTGAATTTCTTACTATACACCTCCACATTCCCTTTGCCTATTACAATTGTGTCTTGACATGAATTCTGACATCGCCGATGAACATGCCCCTATTGAAAACAAGGCAATTAGGCGCTTTTTTACAACTTCAATGATGTCCATTGTTGAGAACGGCCCCACTACTAAGTAAACCAATGGATTCAAAACTGAGGTAGTATTTATCAGATATATTGCCGTATAATAGTCTGGTGTGTTTGGTTTGGAATGACAATTGCTGATTGCGTTTTCAGGAACATCTAACAGTAAAATCATCCAAATCAGGAAAAAAATGGGACATCGTGCACCACGCATTATCGTAGCTATCACATTGTTACTTATCGTATGGCAGTGGGAGAGCATCCTTGCTATTGGTGTGTACAATCGGAGACTTATAATAGTCCCCCATTATGATAGCTTATAATAGTCCCCCATTTTAAGAAAGGGAAAAATGTATTACCCATCAAAGGCACCTGAAATAGACTCCTTGCAGAACGTGAAAATGCAGCTCAATTTTGAAGGATATAACAATAGGTTTCCATTTCTCTTGAGATTGAAATTCTTTTTTTTTTCTTCTTCTCTAAAATGAACTGCTTTGAGGTTACATGCAAGTGGTCTTAACGGCCTATTTACTGCTTATTCAACCAAAGTTTTTGGACATGACTATGATAATCGTGATTTGACATCACGGTGCTTTGAACCAATTTCGTGGAACAAATTATGGGCTGATCAAATTGGGGTACGGCTAACTGGCAGATCGAACCCTGAAACAACTTTTTGGCTTTTCAAAGTCAGGGCATGGAGGAAGCTCGGAGAAAATCAAACGCACTCAGTAAGTTCACTACCGCTGCAACAACCTTGATCGCTCTAAATTAAAAAAATCGAAATTTTGTTTCCTGTCCTTTATCCTAGAGATAGTGCGTTCTGATTGCTGGGCGAGCGGGCGATATTCTGTATCTCTGCGCACGGACCGGTCGGTGCGAATAGGAATAAACTGTGTTCGAGGTCTTGAATATTTGGAGTGAGGCCCTTAGATAACTGTAATGAGCGCGCTGTTGCTTAGAGATAACGGTTCCAGTTGCTTGGCGTATTATCATTTTTTCCTCTCGCGTGGCCGTCACGGCACAGCGCGCGCATTGCAGCGCACGGTATCTGACGGGCTCAAGCTTGCTCATATCATGTACAGCGGTAAATAATGTAACAGTGAAAGATAAGTGCCCCCCCCTGATCTTTTCAACACTTGAAGATAAAATTCGTATCTCCGCGCGCCCATGTAATATCCTCTATATATAATACTATAATTTGAAACACGATGAAACAGCAGAATATAACATAACATACTGTGAAGAAAATTGACCAGTGTTTTTATGGCCAAGTTTCAAGAACTTTGGGATTGAAATGGAAAAGCTAGTTAAACCTTGCCAATTACAGGTACATTTTTGCCTTTATTGCGAGAGCTTTCTTTAATAAACCTCTTAAGGGCTTGCTCCATCCATCCGCGAGCATAAAATAACGGATTATTAAAATAAGAAAACAAATTAGAAAACAATTAGAAAAATAAAACGTGAAAAAAATAAATAAGTCATTCGCACAGTCTTAAAGTCGGTCCGGTTGGGACTGTCTTCAACATTGGAAGTAAGACCTTCTTGCCTGTAAATAACTTCTATTCGTGTACCGTATAGTTATGCATGAAAACCATGCGAAAACAAGTAACCGGATACTGATTAAGAAAACTATCATTAAAATAAAAGACAGTAAATAACTTTCGCATTTTGTAGATTTTATAGACATCGCTGACTGCTCCTGCTATTCACTCCACCAAAATCCAAAGAGTTGGCAAGATAGCAATAAGATTTGTCAAGAGAATGGCGGAACCTTGGTATCCATGGAAACAGAAGAGGAATATCAGTTCATCACCAAGACAATACAAAGTCTAGATGTAGGAAAAAACGAGTGGTATATTGGTTTGAGGAGAACAATGAGAAAATGGCAGTGGATTAGTGGACATGACATGACCATTGATAAATGGATGCCAAGCGAACCAAGTAGTCAAGCAGATTGTGTTAAAATGATAAAACACTATAAAGGATGGGGATTATTCGATGATTCTAGATGCAACAGACAATACATGTTCATATGTGAATACAAACAAGGTAACTGCGTCAGTGACCAAATACTTTAATTTTTTCTTGTCTATCTGTTCGTTTTCTTTAATTTTTAGTTGCTAGCTGTTTTAGCAATGCCGTTTGAATTGGGTTAATAACCCTTCCTCCTCTCCCTAGATTTAGAAATAATACAACTCACAAGGGAATAGAAGTATTCTAAAATCTAAATTATTTTGCAGAGTTATATATATTCCTTTAACGCAGTTTATATATTGTTAATGCATATATTTATTCAATTCAGTCTTCTCCTATCCGCATTTTTCAGTAAGTTTTATATATTCAATTTAAATATTTCAAGCATAAACATTTTCCATTGGTATAAATTTATTTTGACAGATCCGATAGATTCGATTTTTTTCAGCTTATTATTTTCTAATGTACTTTCTACTGTTTCAAACGCTCTAAAATGATGCATTGGGTTTAAATACACCGAGTAATCAAAATAGATATTAGTGTCTTAGAACTCGAAGTGTGCAGGGTTTCAACTGTCCTCACTCTAAAGCTTAACCTACACGAGCAAGTTTTCCTTGCCAAGTTTTCCTTAACAAGGAAAACTTGCTCGTGTAGATGGAGTAAAATGAACAATTTTTCCTTGACAAGGAAAAGCTGGCATGCTAGCTTTTCCTTGTCAAGGAAAAATTGTCAAGGCTGAAATTTGCTCGTGTAGATGGACAACAAGGAAAATGTGGCAAGGAATACTAATCAGTTTAGTTCTCAGTCTTTCCGCGCGCTCCTACACGAGCAATGAAAATTGTCAAGGATACTTGTCAAGAAAGACTTGCTCGTGTAGATTCGGCTTAATTGATCGTGTCACATACTCCTACAGTTCGGAGATGCCTTAACATCATGACTTCTTTCACTAAAACATGGGATTCTTCTGAGAAGAAGCTAGTAACACCCGCTACGGACGATGACACTGCATCAACAACAACTTTATCTCCAACAGGAAGTTCAACAGCAATAGGTAAGTATTAGTACATTAATTCGTTCGTTCGTTCGTTCGTTCGTTCGTTCGTTCGTTCGTTCGTTCGTTCGTTCGTTCGTTCGTTCGTTCGTTCGTTCGTTCATTTAGAACAAAAGTCAAAAACCACACAGCAGATAATTCGAATAGCTGAGCCCTCGCATAAAAAGCCACAATAGATAGGACGTTTTATGGTTAATTGATATTTTGTAATATCTTGTCACTTTTTAAGGAACTGGTTACTGCTCCCGCTATTCATTCCACACAATTAGGAAATCCTGGGATGACAGTAATCATTATTGCCAACAGAATGGCGGGAACTTGGTATCCATGGAAACAGAAGAGGAATACCATTTCATCAACAAGACGATACAAAGTCTAGATGTGGGAACTAACGAGTGGAATATTGGTTTGAGGAGCAGCAAAGCAGGAGACTGGAAGTGGATTAATGGACATAGCTTGAACATCATGAAATGGCTGCCTCGCGAACCAAGTAGATCAAGAGGTTGTGTAAAGATGATAAAACATTACAAAGGACTTGGATTATTTGATGACTTTAGTTGTAGATGGCCTGTAAGGTACATGTTTATATGTGAATACAAAACAGGTAATGTAACCTATAGTGTTATAATATACATTAATCGATGCATATTATGAATTACGATTAGCAAACATCTTGTCAAAACAAAATTCGGCCAAATCTCTGAACTTTCTGCAGCTCAGTGCACCATAATATATAAAAACACGGTTTGCCAAGTTAGTTGCCCTTTAACACTAAGATGTCACATCAAAACAATCTATTGTTTTAACGCTAAGGATCATGATCACCAGAGGGGACAAAATAGACCCAGCACACATGAAATCATACTAAAATTCGTTTTATGAGTGAAAAGTAAGAACAACTAAATATTACATCAAATAATTCAAATTAAAAATGATTGAACCTAAATTCCTGTTACTCTTGCCCATGTAAACAAGCCGTGACATAGTGTTATATAGGGCAAAGGTAAATAAGAATCTTGTAGGACACTACACTGTAACCTTGCATGATAATAAAGGAAAAGCACTTTTTCATTATTAGTAATCTTTAGGTAGTAAGCATTAATTTCATCGTCACGGAACTTGACGGCTACTCCACATGCTTCAGTGTTTGAAAAATGATTAAGGTTACTGTATGCTTTCTTTATTATTCTCGCCGGATAGATCTTCCAGTGTGTTCCGGAGCAGGGAAAAGATCATGCTATTCTGCAACCAATCAATCACCCACAACTACAACAACTGAGCCGCATAAGATAGGTAAGTAAAGAAACGGTATTATCCATCTATAGCTATCTATTTATTTATTCATTCATTTATTAATTCATCCATCCATGTCAATAAATATCAACCATTCTTAAGCACCCAATATTGGTAAAATTACAGTAAACGACCCGTTTTCTGTAAACAACGTTGGGGAAATAGCTCATTCATTCATTCAATCATTCATGAGTCAGTCAGACAGTTAATTAATCGGTCAGTCACTCAGTCACTCAGACGGACATTTATACATTCATTCACTCATCCATCCATCCATCCATCCATCCATCCATCCATCTATCCATCTATCCATCTATCCATCTATCCATCTATCCATCTATCCA